AGTTGAAATGGTAATTTTCGGTCCATATGGGCTATGGATTTAAACATATTAATTTAAATAAAGTTAATTGGAGTTATTTAAAGTATTTAAACCTAGTATTAATACTTTTATAAATACTTGGTTGGTGAAGGCCATAAATGGTCAAAAATGACATCAATGGAGGAAGTTAAAGTTGTTTTGAAACCATTAATGGTGGTTCAATGGCTCATTAATGACAATGTAGGCTATTGGAACATAATAAACCCAATGGATATGATGTGAAATAGGATATTGTATTTTATGTGAGTTAGAAAGAGTGACTATGGTGTGAAAATCATTCAAATAAGGGTATTGATGGTTATCCTTGTGATTGAATTGCAGATTAACTAAATTGGCACCATTCCAGCTAGTGAAGAGATTTAGGAGTTTTGTTTTGAGGGGTAAACCTTTGATCTCTTAAAAGTTTGAGGTAATCAAAGAAAATTTTGTTTATGCCTTTGTGTGTTAATTAATTATGGGTTTGAAAGATTGTTTTTGAAACTAATTGATGTTTGTAAACTTGTGTAATGCAAATTTAACAATGTGATAGATTATGTAATGCGTAAGTATGTGTGTGGGTTGACATGAATGATGTGTAAAGTTATACATATATGTTTGATGACAGAGTAAAGCATGCATATTTTTGAAAATGAATGTCATGAGTTATTATGCATATAGAGTTATGAGTAGTATAATGGAGTCAAATTGTGACAAGTAAGATATGATGTGATGTGAGTAAATACACATGTTCATGTTATGTGTTGATGTGTATATAGCATGTTCACATTATTTTCATTGAGGAGTATATCAGTAAATCCATGTGACAATAGCGGCTTATCATTGGAATTAAAAGTTTGCCTTGGGACCGACGGTTAGAATCAAGAGATAGCCGTTGTCACATGATTGATTAGGGACTATTCTACTTATTTTTTGAAGGACTCAACTCTAACTAGTTTCCATTGGTTTATGAAGAGGCTAGCTTAAGGGTACGACACCCTATGATTGTTAGTATTAGGGGAAACTGTGGATTACAAGTGAGTGGGTTCACCTTAGCCCGGAAGCTCCTTACGAGTAGAAGGTTGGATTAGGCCAAGTTGTGAACATATCCACTAAATAGTCACAGGTTTCATATTGGAGGAATCAGGAGGGTATAAGATTAGCATTGATCTTACATTTTCTATTTTTAGTCACATGGTTGTTACCATTACGGTCTAGCATGTTTTCTATTAAGGGCACATGGTTGTTATTATTACGACCTCAAGATGTAGATTTCTAAAATATATGTGATGATATATGTCTATATCAAGTTATATAGTTGTTAGTTATGTGGCCAAGGCTATATTTAAATTAAATGCATATGATGTTTGTGAAGTTATTGCCATTTGCATTTGTAATTAATTGATATGCAATTTTATAGGCTAATTGACCTTAGTTACTAAGTAGTTGTAATCACCCTCATTTTTCAATATTACATGGCCTGGCTTATCGGACTAAGATAAGGAAAAATGATTGGAGGCTTAGGATTTTGTGTAAATCTTACTTTTAGGCCTCTCGGTTTAAATTTATGTGTATTTTGAATTGTCATTTGCCAACTAGGATCCCATGCAATTTTTTGACCATTTGCACTTTGATGTTAATGTTTTAAATGTATTTCGTGCCTTGGATTTGCTTGTGATGGGGTTGTAAAGCTTAATAGGGTTGAAGTACTAGTGCAAGTAGGGTAATGTGTTGTTGGTTTTCATTAATGAAAGTTATAATGGATTATGCAAAGTTATCTCCCTTTAATATTTTTGTTAAGAAGGGATTGAGTGTTAAAATTATAAAATATGTGTATTTGTTTGATTGTGGTGTATTGCACGAGTCATGCACGATCCATTTAATGTGGTCTAAGGGTAGTGTAAGTTTTTAGCTCTTACTTTATGATTTAGGCACCTTAGTTGTGTGTTTATGTGAAAATGATGTGAATTTTGTAAGGGCTTTCCAACTTTCAATAAGAAAATAATTTAATTGTAAAATCAGTACTATTAGCTAGAGCTAAGAGAAAGCTCTTTGTATACATCTAGATCACATTAATTGGATGTTGGATGAAAAAATGAGACACATCGAAAGTTTGTCCCAGGAGCTATCATTAATAGTAAAATGATGTCAAACTTGTGCAATATACCGCAGCGTGTGGTGTCTCCACCCCATCACATGGTGTAGAGGCAACAAGCCGTAGTGCATTATTAGTATGCTACGATGCATGTGCAGTTTTTATTGAAAATTGATGTTTCCTCACTTCTTTTGCAAATGCATACATTTATTTTGGATTTCATGCTTCCACATGTCTTAAATTCTAATTGGCAAATGATAGAGGAGTATGGGAGTATTTTAAATTTATGAAAACTTAGGATTCCATTAGTGTAATTTTGCAAATTTGGCAATCTATTTAGATTAACCCTATAATTACCTTGATTTTAGAAGAGTAGGGTAGATTAGTAGGGTAATCTTACTTGTCTACTTGGAGTTTACAATATGGCTTCTTAAATAATCAATTTTTTAAAATTATAAATAGAAAAGCCATGTCTCCCTATTTATAGGGCGGCGTGACTTTTACAAAATTAAAAAACTATGTTTTTTAACAATCCTTGCCCCCATTAGTTAGGGTGACATGACTTGTTCCCTTTCTATATCAAGGTTTCAATTAGTGATGTGGACCAGTAAAGGGATCTTTTTGTAGTAGTGGAATCAATAAATAATAATTAAAAAAATTACAAAGTCCTTAAAAAGGATTCTAATTATCTCAAAGTTTCATGAAATGTATGATCTACTTTTAATTCTTAAACCCCTTGTAAATTGTTGAAACTGTAACATCCAATGTTTTTTAATATGGAATTAATTGCTAATTAAAGGAGAAATTAGTTAAAAATAATTAATTAAATTTATCATATTTTCAAGTTGTTAATTGATATTTTGGATAATGATTAATTAAATTAATCATGTTTTTGAATTGTTAATTGACATTTTGGATCATGATAATTTTAAGATTGAGTAAAGGTGAAAGTTAGATCAAATCAAATTCACGTGGCATGAGGTAAAGCAAGAAAATGCTTATCGCACCACATGCCATAACATGTACTCCATATGTCACAGTATATGACACAAATTTAGTACAAAGACCCAAAAAAATATTAGAAAAATAGACTGGAACATCTAGTAAACAAAGAACATGAAGGAGGATGCTAGAGGCTCTATTAGGGCTTTAATTTGGGTAAGGTTAAAGGATTGTTTGGACCTTCGATCATCTAGGTAAGCTTCCTAAAATTCTTCTCTACTTATCCACCTTGGTTTTCTTAGATTCTTAAGAAAGGGTGGCTGGGTTTTGAGTTGAAGGGGGATTACACTCAAAAATTAGGTCTTGTATATTCTTGTGGGAGTTCAATTTAACTTTTTTTGTGTTGAATAAGTGGTTCTACATGTATATGTTGTTGGATGAAAGATGATGGATGAACCCTAGGTTGTTTTAGAATTTTAAAGTTGTTTGAGTTGAAATTAAGCATGAATCAACCTTGTATATGCGAAATTAAGATAAGGTGAGGCTGTAGAAGCTTGACCAGCTCTAAGGTAGATATTTGGATTGTTGAGTAGCTAAAGTAACTTACTCCCGTTGGTCCTATTTATAAGACAGAGAGAGAATTTTTTTTGGTCTTATTTATAAGTCATGTCATTAAATTTTGATAATAAATTTTCTTTTTTACCCTCCATTGAATGTTGGAGAGAGAAAATATGTTATTGAAGCATGTATATTTAATAAGTACAAAGTTGAGAACTTATTAAATTTTAAGATAGAGTTAATAAGTTTTAAGGTTTTTCTTGATAATAGTGAAATATGTTGAAAGTGACTTATAAATAGAACTAAGTAATTTAGCTTGCAGGTACTTGTGTTAAATTAATAAATTGACATATAGTACTTCGAAATGTAGAATTCAATATCTTAGAGTAATTCCAAGGCTATGGTAATGTAAGAGGTTTTGTTTGATCCATGGGTAGTCCTTTTGATAAAAAGGGGATTCAATAACCAGTTAATTATATAGTTTATTGGCTTGTATGGTTATTTGCAAAAAAAAAATATTTATATACAAATGTAATAATTTCTTTTAAAACTTGTTGAGTGTGCTAAGGATTTATGCCAAAAATTGCTCATACTTTGATTAGGATGCTAAGGTTTGATAATATGTTTTTGAAAATGAATTTATCAAACTATAAAAATAGGGCAAATTTAGTTAGCATTAGATATGCAAAATTTATATTGAATATCTGGAAAAATGCAAAGAGTTGCATTGTTAAACATTGCATGATCGAATAAGGGTAAGAGTTCACCCTAGTTGAAGAGTTAATAAAAATCCATATGGTTATGTTGTCACCTAGGACACTTGATACAACCTATCTTAGCTCCGTATTCACCAAAGAGATTCGGTAGATTAGTGATGTTCTAAATCAATCAAAAAGCATTTAGTGGCATCGGTGCATACAACACCCCAAATTGTGTGGTTAGGGGAATTCATAATCCTAAAAAGATAAGGGATAACCTTAGTCGAGTAGTTCCCTCTATTGAAGGTGAGCTTAGGACAATTCACAAGGAATTAATTCTATGTAGTAACCTATGGATTCAGTTAGGGAGACATGGAAGTTCGATTGGATATAGGATCATGCATGTGGTATTTATGCTATTTGTGGTGAATTTATACTTAGCCTATATATTATGCTATATTAAATCATATTTTTATGATGCCGTTTTACTACTTATTTATGATTGCACATGTTAATGAATTATATAATTTTTTGGCTACTGAGATTGTCTCATGTAACACCCTCAAATTTACAAACCGATTTTTCGCAAATTATTAATTCAAGAAATCATTTTTTTTTCATTGAACCCTTATCATGGTAGAAAAATTTCTACCATGATACATCCAAGACAATATACCACAGGTCTTAAAATATCTCAAAAAGCAATTAGAACCATGAGGGACAGACAGGATCCTCATGGCATGATATTTAAATCAGGTCATGAATCAAGAGGGACAGATATAATCCTCTTGGTCATATAAATACTTTTAATAAAAAGGATTAGAGTTTACATGCTTCACAAAGAAGATATGTCCTAAGTTGGCACAAGATACATTGTATAATCCAAAATAAGAGGCAACGTAAAAGATGGTGTCTCATACACCATAGTTACACCTCTGGTGCTTTCTCGGCCGGACTCGCTCCTGTAAAAATGTTAACCACGGGGAATGAGACTTAAAAGTCCCCAGTAACCAAAAATTAATATGTAATGATGCATGCGGATGTAACTAATCATGCGATTGCTAAGTGGGCACACAAAACATTTAACCGAACAATATTTTCAAACAAACCGAACAAGTATTTAATTGCATGACTGCACCTTATATCCTCCTTTCACCATGCTCGGACGCCAAATCACCCGGCCAAAGGTGAGTTGGACCAAGCGACACGCCACTCATTGGGTCCAATGAGGGCTTACCACGTGGTAATAATTAACCGAACAGAAATTCCCATTAACACCATACATTAAAATACCCTGACAAGTCATGCATCATTCAAATATCCAAACAGGAATATATCCGAACAATAATATCTCATCATGATAAATAAAAAATAAATTTTTAACCCACTTGGCAATAATTTCAAACAAGTATATACAGTATTTATTTTCAATAATTCATAATTTTTCCAAACAACAAAACAACACATAACCATTCACAAACACACCCATCACAACACATTAATAATGGTTACCTTGTGTCTTGAATAACAAGTTCCCCTTCACAACTCCTTTTTCACCACTATCTTTGTCAATATAATCTACATAATTATTTCACAATACTATATATTAATTTTACATTAAAATAAATAACTCTAATTTAAAGAGTTAGAAAGTCTTAAATCTATAGTCCATATTAACACTAATTTAAGATTTATGCCTCATTTAACTTCCCAAATTCTTTTCTAAAATTCTCGTACCCTAATGAACTATTTTTTTTTATCCTCAATTCACTTCTAGTATCACAATTTCATCCTTCTACATTCTAAAAATTCATCCAAAAATAAATTAAAAATTTTAGAATTATCCTGAAGCCTCAAATCACCTTTCTATAACCTCAAAAATACCTATTCATACTTAAATAAATATTTAATAATCATAGGTTTATCCCTACGTCTCAGATTCCACATAAATTCAACCATATAGATCTAGATTTTAACTCAAAAATTCTTAAACATGAGTTTCAACCTCAAGAAAATATTCTATAATATTTACTATATCTCTAAGAATTTTAACCTATATTTTTAATTCATCATATCATCAGATTAACTATCCTATAGAAAAAATCCTAATCAAAATATTTACTCTATCCTACAAAATAATCATATCACTAGAAAGCTAATATTATTTAGAAAATAACTATAAAATTAATTTTGTAATTAAATAAATTTTTAAATGCTAATCTAAACAGGAAAGTTAGAACATACCTGAAGAAAAAGAAAATAATCCCCCCTTGTGAGAAAACGCCGAGCAACGTGAGAGGAAGAGAGAAAAATAATATAAAAATAGGATTGTGAGTCCCAAAATTATATAAAAAAAAACTATAGGTTTGAATTTAATTATTCAAACCTTTGGGCCAAAAGTTGCAATTTTCTCTAAATTGCATCTTAGCCTCTCATGCTTCCTAATGCACACACCCCCTCCTTTTTATACATGAAGGCACCTCTTCTCTTCCCTCATCTAACCAATGTGGGACTTAGAAACAACAACCTTCCACCCCCTTTTTTTGTTCCTTCTACATTCTCTCTGTTTTTTTTTTCAACACATACATAAAAAAAATTATTTATGTATTATATCTTAACTAAATATTGCTTATGTGATTTTAAATTTAAATTTTTAAATTCATAATTAAATACCTAACCATAATATTATTTCTAAATAACCTCAAATAATATAAATTCCTATTATTATCATTTTTTTTTCTCAAAACCTAAATTCCACAATTTCTTTATTATATAAAAAATCAGGATGTTACATCTCACTCCAATAGATTTATATTTTTACATGTTTTGAGGTTGAAAGGAGACAAGGCAAAGAGCTAGGCTAGGAGTAACTTGTCTGCTTTCTTTGTAATGTCCTATATTTTGTTGTAAATAATGATGTATATAAGTTGACTTGTCAATTTGGGAGATTGTGTATCTTGGATGCATGCTTGTATGAGATATTTTGATATGTTAACCCTAGGTATTAGTGTTAATGCTCATATTTGCAGGGATAATATATTAGTACAAGCATGATGTGTATATGAAAGTGTTAGGATCAGATATTGCACTTATTGTGATGTGTAATGTAATAAATTGGCCTATAGTGATTGTGGATAACATCATTTATGGTAAAGGTTAATTTTTGATTGTAAGTGAAAAATGAGGTGAATTATGTATGTGAATAGATAGATTTGGCCAAATGAGGTGAATTATGTATGTGAATAGATAGATTTGGCCAATGGTGATTTATTATAATTGTGCGGTTAGTAGCATAGTTTTGTGTGGAACTGGTGCTTTGATAGCTAAGTCTTGGATTTATATTGAAATTATAGAGTTAATTGTTCAATTTAGTGTATGTTGGTTTATTGAACTTGGTTTAAGTCCTAAATTGAGTTGGTAGTATAAGTTTTGAGATTTGACCCCATGCTGTGAAATTAAGCTCTTTATACCATATGCCACAGCATATGGACCCCATGCTATGATATATGTATCAAAATGTGTCAGAATGACTTTTTTGGCCCTCTTTTGCTATGTTTTCCTTGATTTTATCTTCTGTGCTTCCCATACTTTTAAATATAAATAAGAATGAGCTCAAACTACATATTTGAAAGGTTTTTGGAATCCTAAAGTTTTCAAATTTATTTTAAAATATTTAATTGATTTAAATCTTTTGATTATAGTTAGCTTAGGAGGGACTAATGGCTCCTAAATACTGTTGTATGTTACGATTGTGATGATATTGATAATATCAAGGTGGACATTATAGAAACTACAATGGGTGACATGAGCAATGTGGGTAGAAGTTGGTGATAGCAACTTCCAATAACTAAATATAGTCAAACAAAAAAAAATTTAGAGATAAAATTTACGGAGAATTATTCCAAAGGTTTACAGAGTGATTGCAAATAACATATTATGGAAATCCAATTTAACTCATTTGGTTGAATTGGTAAATCATTAAACTAATGTCTTTGCTGATTTAATAAAGTACTTAGCATTATGAATTGATGGATTTGAATTTTAATTTTGGATGGCTCATTACCAATGCAGTGGAAATGTTAGGCTTCAAGCTTTTGTCTTATGAATTGGGTCTAGGTGGCTCGTTACCCCTTCTAATCGTAATCCAAAGGTTGCATACAAATTCAATAGGCTCATTAGATGTCCCTTACCATCCTCACATCAATTCATGCTTAACATTACTTAATTAACCTTTATTAATTACATTAATCCAGCAACTATCTTTCAATATGTCACATATGGTGAAGGAGTTGAAGGAGGTTGGATCTAGCTCTGGCAAGACCTTGTGCTTGCCTCTAACCATTGTTGCGAGAGAGGAGAAAAAGATTAAGAGTACTAATCAAAAGAGAAGAGGACAGGTTAGGGATTTAGGAGCGATGGGCAATCTAGTTATTGAACATGAGAGATAAGAGTTGGCGGTGATGTAGTTATGAGTCGAGGGGATCGCAAATTTGTAGAAGAGATATGATCCTTTGAAAATCCAAACACAAAGTAATAGGCATGATAAACCATGATTCTTTCGCAAAAAGTGTCAATCGATTTCCCAAGCACCAACTGTTTCTGGCCCAACTTTTAATGCTTTGTCTTCTTCTCTTCCATTGCTACCATGTCAGTTGCAGAGCCAGAGATTTGTTATGGAGTAGTTACCCAGCTTGATTATTGTAAATCTCCCCACCCAACTTTACCTACGAACTCAGAAGCTCTACCGCCATCCTCCATGCTTCCATTTTTTTCCCAAGGGACAGAGAAGAAGGGAGATAGTCCCTCTGATCTAAAATATAAGTAATTTTTAATAATACTTCCTTCGCCCTAAATTATAAGATATTTTTAAAAAAAAATTAACATTTTAAAATATAAGACACTTTGATAAAAATAAAATTTATTAATGATACTTTTTTAATATTATCCTCCCCGTATATTTTTTCTCTTCAATATTTTTTATCAATGGAATATTAAATGAAGGGCATTTTTAGAAGTTTATATTTTTGTCTTGAAAAAATAAAGTTGTTAAATGTATTTAATGAGGTTTATTGGTATGTGAGATTTTATCTAAAAGTGTCTTATAATTTTGGACGGAGGGAGTAATAACCATACCAATAAAATCTTTATTCTCATGAAAATATATATTTTGATTTTCCTTTTGTACCCTTAATTCTAATTTATGATGAGTGCAAAGAATATTATAGATTCATAGATATAATAATCTGTGTTAATAAATGCAATAGGTAAAATTAAATTTTTGTTTGTATAAATTATAAATTGTTTATATTTTGAATCAAAATTAATTAAAAGAAAATATTTATATTTTTGGGCCGAGGGAGCAATATCAAATTTGTTTTGGGGTCGATATTAGGGCAAGCGACAAGGGGTGATTTGCTGCCTTGCGTAAAATGTGTTGCCGGTCATTGAAACAGCTGGAGAACCGGGGGATGATCCCGTTGATATCTGCCAATGGGATGATCTGGCCCTTCATTTTTTTGCCAAATGATATCTGCCATTGACTTAAAATTATTTTTAAAAATATTTTTATTTTAAATTTATTAAAATAAAAATTATAAAAAATATAATATTAAATATGAACTGTGCACAGTTTATTTAGATGATTAATTAATTAAAATTATAAAATATTTAATATTAAATTAAACTTTTAAAATTATATCTATACTGTCCATAATACATTTGGATAGTCAATTTATAAAAATTATTAAAAATAATGTTAAACTGAGTCATTCAAATTAAATCTATACCAACTAGATTGGTGATAAATAAATTTATTAAAATAAAAGTAACAAGTTTAAATTTGGATAATCTAGATCTTATTAGGGGTACTGTAGTATTTATCCTCTAATAACATAAAAAAGAGTTCATATTTAATATTATAATTTTTTATAATTTTTATATATTTTATTTTTATAAGTATAAGATTAAAATATTTTAAAAAATAATTTTAAATCAATGGAAAGGGTTATTTAAATAGAAATAAATGGCTCAGATCTTTCCACATTAGTAATGAGCGTGTGGTGCTCATCAAATGCGTTTCCGAGAATTAGAAATCAAAATGAGAAGCGTAATGGGCAGTAGCTGGAGAAGAACAAAAACTTGAAAGAAGGAAGAGAATTTAATAAGCAGATATGAATTCAGAGAAAAACATGAGGAACAAGCAATTTTTCCCCCCAGAGGAGTGAAATAATCCTTTCATATTAAAATTAATCATCAAAAGAGCCCTTAGAAATTAAAAAATAATTATCACATTTTGTGGTAACTATTTATTATATGCTTATTTTAGGAATATTTTTGCCATTCTCTCAATTTTAATTAAATTTTTAACTTTGAAAGCATCATGCCAGAGATTATCTATACACACAACATATTAATTTTTAATAATATATACATACACCCCTCCCTCCCTGGATCTCAATTTAAAAGATATTTTTGGATGTGAGTTGGTGCTCTAAAATATGAGATATTTTAACAAAATTAATGTTTCATTAATTATACTTATTTTAATATTTCTCTTCACTCTTAATTATATTCTCTCTCTCTCTCTCTCTCTCTCTCTCTCTCTCTCTCTCTGAAGAGAGTATTTTTTTTCAAAATTTATATGTATAATTTTTTTTAAAATGTAAAGTACTCCCTCCATTTCTATATATATAAAAAAATTATGACTTATTTTTTTGTTTTTTTTAAAGCAAAATCACATATTTTAATAAGTATTTATTACAATTTTTCTATGTTAACCCTCATAATTCTCAATTTTCTTTCATGAAAAACAATTAATGCAACTTTATTTTGATTGAATCAAGGTTATTTTAGTCTATCCATTTATTTTCAGACACAATTATTATAATTAATTAATTTTCTTAAACTGTGTAATATATTTATTTTTTATATAT